GTTATGTAATTTTCAACTTATTGCTCTAATATGTTTATAGCTATTTTTATCATTAGACGTTTCACGGCTGCGTATTTTCATCTGCATAAATATTAAAATTCTAATAATTTTCGAAGTACTGATCTAGTAATTATTATCGACCCGTTATTTTTTATATTAGACCATTATCTATTTTATAAGTACATTAAAAATGGATATTGCCATCTAAAAAATTAAGTTTGTAATTTTTATAAGAGATAAAGGACAAATTAAAAAGTATTTAACCACTTATAATTTGAGAGATAAATAGTACTCAACAAAACTAAAAAAAAAATATATCCAAGATTATTATTACTTTAGGAGAAATTTTGTGATAAATGATAATTCAAATATCTCTGTAAAGCTAATTAAATAACATATTATATATAAATATTTTATAAAACTTTTTAAATAACAAATTTATAGTAATATTTAACTCAATTTAATGTAAAAGTTTTATACATTTATTAAGTTCGCAACTTTGTAAAAAAATGTTTATATTTTTAAATTTAAAAAAAAAAAAGTATTGGAGTGCATTACAGATTACATTTTTATAAATTACATTATATATAAAATCACAAATAAAATGTAAAAAGAAAATTTTAAACTTCTACCAAACATAACAAACATTGCTGCTAAAAATAGAACAGAAAAAAATAACTGTAATGTAGTAAAAGTGGTACTTGAATAATTTGTAACAAAAATTGACTAAATCGACATAATAAACAACATATATTTTATAAATGCAATATTTACAATACTAATGGGCGATAAATAACGAATAACAAAATAAGACAGCCTGGTAGATCTATTAATAGCAATAATTTTAGTATATTTAAGCGACAAGTTCAAATAGTTGTCTTCAGCAGATGGAAAACGGTTTAAAAACGGCGACAAATTCATTAATAAATTCTATGGTCAGATATTTAAGCGTCAAATTCAAATTCAAAGATATGTTATAAGCAAACTGGCAACGTTGCTTTGATAAAACTATACAATTATAAGCGACAGAGCGTTAAAAACGTCTTACGCTTATTATTTACACGTTGCCAAAATGCTTACAAACTTATTTTTATAATATGGCACAGAGAAAACATAACTGAGCGACTATTGGATAAATTAAGAGCCGTTTATCTTACCATTTGACAGCCGAGTAGCATTATGTTCATTGTATTATACATTTATGACACTTAAATTATGTTCAACTGAATATTTGGATTTGTCGCTCTTTTTTCTTGCCTTGATTGACTTCAGTACTCATTTTCTCAAATATCTGTCATTCGAATTAATTAAATAATTAATGATTTTGTCGCCAAATCGTTGTTTAGTTTAAAATTTATTAATTTACAATTGCTCTCTTATAGTATATTACTATTTGGATATGACTATTTTATATTAATACGTCTCTCGGCTACGTATTTCACCCTAAATATAAAAAAAGTAATATTTTCTGATCTAAAAATTATTTTTTAAAATATAAGTAAATATAAATAAAATATAAGTAAGTTAAATGTGTATGTTTCTATTTAAAACAATTAAGTTGGTATCATTTAAGGAAGGAAAGAGGACAAACATAAAAAGTATTTCTAAGATTATTACTTTAGAAAAAATTTAGTGATCAATAATATGTAAAGCTGATTAAATAGCACATTATATATATAATAAATATCTCAGTAATATTTCGCACAATTTTATGAGCAGTTATATGTAACAGTTTTATAAATTTAATAAGTTCACAGGTTTGTAAACAATTAATTTGTTTTTTAAATTTTTGATCAAAAGTTATTACAGTGCATAATCGATTATATTAATATAAGTTACAATATATGTTTAGTCTTAAATAAAATGTAATAAGAAAATTTAAAACTTCCATCAAACATCATAACAATTTCTGCTAAAAATATAACAAAAAGAATAATTGGTGCTTGAATAATTTGTAAAATTAATTATATTAAATTAAAAATTAATTTGTATACTAAACGTTGTCATAGTCGTCATTATATACAATTTATAAATGCAACTTATTTACAATACTAATGGGCGGTAAATAACGAATAATAAAATAACCTAACAGGATTGTCTGTTAATAATAATTTTAGTTTATTTGAGAGACAAATTCCAACAGCCGTTTTTAGCAGATGGAAATAATATTTGAAAAACGGCGACAAATTCATTGATTATTATAAATTTGATGGACAAATATTTGAGAAAATTAATACTGAAGTTGATGGAGCTACAAATAGTAAGAGCGTCAATTCAAATAAAAGATTAATTCATTAGCAAACTGGCAATGTGGTGTTCTTAAATATTAAGAACATTTTTAATGCTCTCTCTTTAGATTTATTAAAGCAACGTTGCCAGTTTGCTTATGAAGTTATTGATATACCGCGGACCACGCAACTGAGTTACTAATGAATAAGACAAGATCCTTTTATCTTACAATTTGTCCGCTTAGTTGTATTCTCTCATACAGTGCACTAATTGCACTATACTTCTATTATATTTTGTTCAAATAGTTATTTGAATTTGTCGCTCTTACTACCTGTCTCGATTGATTCAGTACTCAATTTTTTAAAATAGCTGCCAATCGAATTAAAAATAATCAATGAATTTATTGTTCTAGTGGATTATTAATTTTTATGTGATAATTTTTATCATTACACATTTTTCGATCGCAAACATCCAACCGTCTAGGAATTAAATTGCTAATAATTTCCGAGGTCCATCAGTCATTAAAAAAATGAAGTTAGTAAGGGATAAGGGACGGATCTAAAAAGTATTTAACCACTCAATCGGAAAAAAAAACAGATTACATAAATATATTTTCAAGATTTAATTATTTTTGGAGAACTATAGTGCTTAATGATAAATTAATCATTATCTAAAGCTATTTAAACAACATTTTTTAAATTTTTTTAGTAATCTTTGACGCAATTTTTATTTAACCGTTTTATACATTCATTAAATTCACAATAAAGTTTTAATATTACATAACTATATAAAAAGTTATAATTGCTTTTGATTTTTTATTAAATCTCAAATGTAAACTTTAATTTTCAAAGTGTGGAATAAAATTAATTTTTGAAACATTCCTATTCTTTGACATAAAAATTTTACAGAAACATACTTAGTTAACCTGATTTACAAGTTAATTTTATGGAAAAACTCTTTATAAGTACACAAATTGGTTCATTAGCATAATGTTTTTAAAAAATAATATTGTGGTTGTTTAATGTAAATATATGAATGTACCTAAATAAGAAAGTTATGATCATCCTAGAATGTTCTAGAAAACGTTTTCTATCGTAGACTAATTATAACTACAAAAGTTATACATTAAAGTTTTAGATTCGTGACTTCGTTAAGTAGACTTCAATTCATGTAATCAGACGCTTATATTGAAGTACTCTGTGAATACTTTTATAACTTTGCGTGCAGTTATTTGTGATTTGGTTCATTTGTTAGTTAAAATATTTTATCATGAATATTGGTAAAATCATCAAAGTTAATTTCTTTATTGAATTATAGTAAATAATAATTTACATTCATAAAATATTAATAATTAAATATAAAAATAGATACTTTTTAGATTAAGACAATCTAATTATTAATAAATTATTTAATTATTACTGCTAGGAATTATATGCACTTATAAGTTTTTTTAAGTCTTCTTGATGGGTTTCAAGTTTGTGCGAATTTGTCGTAGCATAATATAATACTGTAAAAATATATTTCTTTTCAGGAGAGGTAATATTTAAATAAAAGGCAAAAAATTGTAAACAATTTTTATCCGATTAACTGATTGTGTTTCAAAATCGTTTAAAGATTTATATTTAAATGGAAATTCATTAACCTTCCGAGAGGTGCGGGTATGAATCAGATACGCAGCGGAAATTTTATAATTTTATAATTCATTTTATAATATTATAAAAATTATTTGGGAACTATTAACTGCTAAATATTAATAATTAGTTTTCTACATTGCCACTGTAATGAACTACAGAATATGTTAGATATACGACCAAAGTTTGTTAGTTTCAATATTTCGCATCATGATTTAAAAATTTAACCTTGAAAAAAATTGTGTTCTAGATCAATTTTAATAATAGTCTCTTAAATAACATGAAATTAAAAGCAACTTTTATAAGCATGTGTAATTGTACTTCCATGCAGTGAAGGGTCAATAAAGTAGATCATTAGTCATCTTTTTAAATTTTAATGAGTATAATAAGATCTCATGTTAAATAATGTTTAATGAAAAGCAGACTAAAAAGAACTTATGCTAACTAAATTAGCAACAACTATGTTTGTAAAGTAAATCAAATACTATTTTATATCATTGAATAATGTTCACATAAGGTATTTAACATTTTTTTTTTTTCAAAACCATTATTAATTTAATTTCATGTCCTACAAGGATAATTTTATGATTATTTTATAGTAAAAATTAAGGGTCAAATTAGAATTTTTTCAAGAAGATTTTAGACATTAAAATTAACTTTTAACCATTTTTATTATCCATACGACTTTTTTTTGTAAGTGGGTGACGATAATTCAAGGAAGGGTGTGCGCTACCTGCAATCTTCCGCTTAATCATCCACTGTTAAAAGAAAAAATAAGTAAAAAAANTAAAAAAAAAAACACATCATAGTAAAATTAATACCTTCTCAGCTTCGCATCGAAGCTAAAAATAAAACTTCAAATGTATTTAACCACTTAAATAACATATAAATTTAACAATTAAACTATAAAAATTAAAAGTGGAATAATTTTCTAGAATTAAATAAATATATATATGCATGTGATAGTTTTATCGACGTAATATACAATAAAGTCTAAAAAATTCCTTAACTCAAAACTACCACTTGATTATTGTCAAGTTTAATACGGAGCATTATTAAATATAGGTATTCATAAACAAAATTTCCACTCTAGAATGATTATGAAAAATATACGATTGAAGTTAAAACCTTTATACAAAAATTGATGGGTCATGGTGCCAAGAATTCAATTTCATTCTTAATCGAATTTCGAACGCTGTTCATCATAAAGTACCAGTAATGAAATCATTATATTTGACTACTTTGCGTTCAAAAAGATGACATAGTAAGTTACTGATATCGGACTTAGTATAGATAAAAATTATTTTTCTAAAGTTTACATAAATTCATTTTTATCTTAAAATTCTAATTTTGGTATATGAATGCTAAATTACTAAATATTAATTTTATACTATATTTAATTGCTATAATAAATATTTATTTAAATATTATACTTCTTAATCAAAGAACTACTAATCAGGATTAATGAAGGATATAGGAATTAATTTTGCTTTTGGTATAATCCACCAATTTTTTAAAATTAAATACTATTTACAGATTTGTATCAAAACGTTTCTAATGATAATGATTTTAATCACTGTCAAATATCTCATTTATACTTATCCATTTTTACCACATCCATACTGTGCTACTTTTTTTTTATTTAAGGCATTGTGAATGGGAGTGCATTGCTATAAAAAATTAATTTTCCAAACAATGGATATTAGATATATTAGTCCCAGGTTTTTAATTAACTGTGTAGTATAATATTCACAGAGCAAATAATTTAATAAGAGTGCATACAAGGCAATTTCTTAAATTAGTATATCTAATTAGAAAATACTTACACAAAATTGTTAGAATAATTGAAATATTGTTTATTCATAACCCATATCATTCATTTTTACCAATAGATATTTATATAAATAGGATGTCTTACCTCAAAACAAACTAAAATAAAATATGAATATTTCTAATTCCCCTTTTGATTAAAATACAAAATTATGAATATTATTTTAGCTTCGATGCGAAGCGGAGAAGGTATTAATTTTACTATGATGTGGTTTTTTTTTTTATGTCTGTTGCCACTTTTTCTCAGCTCTCACTGGACCGATTTCTTTCAAAAATACGTCAAAAGATCACAAATCGTATCTAGTTGAAGACATTACCCTTAAAAATTGAAAAAAATTCCCTCGTTCCCCGCAAATGGGGGAAATATCCAAAAAAATTACAAATTTAAAAATCGCTAATTTTCGAAATTTTTTCACTTTTTTTTCTTAAAACTTCCATAACTTTTTGAAAAATCAACAAATCAACATAATTTTTTTTTATACTAAAACCTTAGATATTTACCTTTCATTTGATATCATTTTTTTGAAAATCTATCACTTAACCTGCTCATTGGGGGGGATTTAAAATGGCAACTTTTTTACAAAAATTAATTTTTTCAACTTAATTTTTGAAAATGTTCCGGAAAGACTGCGTCCTTTAAACATATATCAAATTAAAGCTTATTTTATGTACTACAAAATGAAAAAAAAAAATTTGTCCCGACACTTTTTTTTCTACATTTAAACGGCTGCCGTAGTTAAAAAAACACTATTTTTGTGTTAAAATTTTCGATTTTCGATTTTAAATTTTCAACTTAAAAATGCTATAACTTTTTGAAAAATGTATATATCAGCACAAATTTTTTTTTTCTAAATACATTATAAGTACATCTTTCATTTGACATACTTTTTATTAAAATTGGACAATTTCCCCTTATATAGGGGGCGTTCAAAACTTAAAATATTGTAAAAAACATAGATCTTTTTCAACTGAACTTTTGAAAATGTTCCGGAAATACTGCGTCCTTTAAACATATATCAAATCAAAGGTTATGTTATATACTATCAAATGAAAAAAAAAAATTTGTCCCGACATCTTATCTTCTATGTGCAAATGGCTGTCGAAAATTTAAAAAAAAATGTAATGTTTGCGATAAAAATTACATTTTATCGGGATGTTTTTTGTACTTAAAACTGCCATAACTTTTTCAAAAATGAACAAATAAAAATAATATTTTTTTGTATTGAAACCTTAGATATTTCCCTTTCATTTGATATAATTTTTTTTGAAAATCTAACACTTATTCTGCTCACTGGGAGGATTTAAAATAGTAACTTTTTTACAAAAAATAACTTTTTCAACTTAATTTTTGAAAATGTTCCGGAAAGACGCGTCCTTTAAACATATATCAAATTAAAGCTTATTTTATGTACTACAAAATGAAAAAAAAAATTTGTCCCGCCACTTTTTTTTCTACATTTAAACGGCTGCCATAGTTAAAAAAACACTATTTTTGTGTTAAAATTTTCGATTTTAAATTTTCAACTTAAAAATGCTATAACTTTTTGAAAAATGTATATATCAGCACAAATTTTTTTTTTCTAAATACATTATAAGTACATCTTTCATTTGACATACTTTTTATTAAAATTGGACAATTTCCCCTTATATAGGGGGCGTTCAAAACTTAAAATATTGTAAAAAACATAGATCTTTTTCAACTGAACTTTTGAAAATGTTCCGGAAATACTGCGTCCTTTAAACATATATCAAATCAAAGGTTATGTTATATACTATCAAATGAAAAAAAAAAATTTGTCCCGACATCTTATCTTCTATGTGCAAATGGCTGTCGAAAATTTAAAAAAAAATGTAATGTTTGCGATAAAAATTACATTTTATCGGGATGTTTTTTGTACTTAAAACTGCCATAACTTTTTCAAAAATGAACAAATAAAAATAATATTTTTTTGTATTGAAACCTTAGATATTTCCCTTTCATTTGATATAATTTTTTTTGAAAATCTAACACTTATTCTGCTCACTGGGAGGATTTAAAATAGTAACTTTTTTACAAAAAATAACTTTTTCAACTTAATTTTTGAAAATGTTCCGGAAATACTGCGTCCTTTAAACATATATAAAATTAAAGCTTATTTTATGTACTACAAAATGAAAAAAAAAAATTTGTCCCGACGATCTATCTTCTATACGCAAATGGCTACCATATTGAAAAATATACTATTTTTGTATGATAATTATGGGTTTTGTATTTTATTTTAATAGAAGTTGATGTTGCTTTTGCAATTATCCATCAATTTTTTAAAATTAAACACTATCTACAGATTTGCATCGAAGCGTTTCTTATGATAGTGATTTTAATCACTGTCAGATTAAATCTATACTGAACCCTACTATGCAATGTCTCCACTATGCCGCGACCCCACTGTGCTACCGTTTTTTTTAATTTAGTTTTTGAAAATAGCATGGATAGGAGAATACTAGGCATAATATATATAATTTTTAATACATTTAAGAAAATTAGCAAAACAAAAATTATTTGATTTCAGTATGTAAGAATATATTTTTGATAGCTATAATCTAACATTTAAATATTTTTAGTAGTAGCATTAAATTTATTGTGCAATATGATGATATGCATGTAGTACACAATATTTACAGACAACAAAAAATTGTTTAATTTATAAGTTAAATAAAATTATAATTAAAATTACATAAATTTCAAGAAAACATTTTTTTCCTTAAGTACACTTAAAAAATATTGGTAAAAGCTTTATAGACATTATAACTATAAAGCAAATAAAAATCGACGTGCTCTTAACGGTCCTCCTGCAGATGATGAGCCACTAGTATTTCCTGTAACTCCAACTCTACTTTCAATTTCATTAACTAAACTGTTGACATTTTCCTGTAACTGAAATAAAAATTGAAAAAATTTATTCACTTAGAAGACAATAATATGAGCTATACCTCTAATACATTTTTGTTGTCAGTATTTTGTTCTTCAATACATAAAGATCTACATTTATCAGCCATGGCAAATGATTTTTCATAATTATTCTGATCTAAATAATGATGTCCTAAGTATAAATAAATCTTAGCTAATATAAGATTAATAATTTTTTCTGAAGCTTTTTCAGCTAGTGCATTTTTTAGAGCTATTTTATTTAGACAGTGAAAATTATCACATACAACTTGGCTATTGCTATTATCACAATATTTTTCATAAAACCTAAAAAATATATATAATTTCTTTATGTTCTATTAAATTATTTATTTTTAAAATCATATTTAAATTAAAAAAATTAATATCCTAAAAAGTTCAATGAAAAAAATTATTAATTTTAGTTAACTCTTTATTGAATGATTTTTTTGTAAAAACGACATATTTGATAAGATAGTTTACTAAATATGAAATTACATTTTTTAGACTATCTTCTTCTTTTTCCTCACCTTAATCCCAACTACTTGGGGTTAGCCACTCTTATCCTAAACTTTCACTTGGAACGATCCCATATCTTATATGAATATATCAACTGTCCTCATATCTCTTTTTTGGTCTTCCTCTACCTCTTCTTCCCTCAACATTCATTTTCATAACTGTTCTTACAGCTTTCAATTCCTCTCTCCTCATAACATGACCAAACCATCTAAGTCTATTTTCTCTTATCTTATCCACGATAAACGCCACATTCTTTAGACAATAAAACCAATATTTCTAAAATGTATAAAACCTTATACATTTGATTAAAATAGAGTAGCACTAAAACTAAAATTAATAAATTCAAACTAAAAAATAAATATTTGTTAGTTTAAAAACTAATAATACAAATTATTTTTATTGACTATAATAATTTTTTATAATTAGTATATTTTCTTACTTTGCTATTTTAAATAGAACTGATCCTTCAGTATCAAAACGTAAAGCCTTATAATAACATGTCAGAGCTTCACAAATTCTGTCTGTGCGCTCATACATTTCACCTAATGCAACTAGCATACGTGAATCATGAGGTCTTAAAGTATATGCTTGACTAAAATAATACAATGCATAGTTTGGTAATTTTACTAATTCATAAATTTGTCCTAGGCCATACCATGCTCTATAATCTTTTATATTAATTTCTATATAGATATGTAAAAGGAAAAATAAATTTTCATTAATTATTATTATCATTATTTCCATAAATGTTTAGAATATAATCATACGTAATGATTGACGATATGATGCAATAGCTGCATAAGAATTTTTCATTTCAATATATTCATGTCCCAATAAAGTCCATGCAGTTACATTAGAGGGATTCATTCTTAATGCTTTTTTAAAATATAATACAGATTTTGCATGATCACATTTCAAACTATACATGTTACCTAAAATAGAAATCATTAATTATTTAAAATTAAAATTGTCATAGCAGTTATAAATGATAAGATAATTTTTAAATTTATGTTACTAAAAGATTTAGGTGATATTTTTTTAAAAATTAGTAAACAGTGTGGAATGAATTTTGTCAACTGTTGATGAAAAATTTGCCAACTAAATTACCTTGGCAAGAAAAAGAATCTACAGTATATTCTAAAAATACTGACCATAAATGACTTTAATAAATTTTTAGGTGATATGACACCCCTATACTACTTTATGAAATCCCTGAATTTTTTGGCTCAATAAAACTTGAAATGATACAGTATATGAACTTTCAGTGGCTTGATATAAAATATTCTAAATGGTATTAAAATTAGATATAATAATGTAAAGTACAAAAGAAAATCATACCAAGAATACATAATGTTTCTTGACGATAACGATCAACATATGATGCATGTTTAGATAAAACAATGAGTTGATCACGGTGGTCACACACATACATTAAATTTGACAACAAATCTATATTATCTAGTCTGTATGGATCTAATTGTAGAACATTTATAAACTCATTTACAGATTGAACAATTTCTGAAAAAATATTTTATAAATACTAAAAATTAGCATGTATTTATTAATAATGTGATAAAATTTTACCTCTTTTATTATGATATGAAATGGCTAATTGACACCGTAAGTAAGGCCATTTTTGGAATACTTCATTACCATACTGTAAAATATCATTGTATATTTGCAATGCTTTATCAGTCAATTGAAAATCCAAGTATACATGTGCTAAAAATATTAAATGCATCCAATGATTAGGATGGTTTTGTAACTTTAGTTCTTCAAGCTGCAAAACAATTTCACATAGATAATTATGTTTTTTAATGTACTTTAAAATTACATTTGAATATCATTCACTAATTGTTCATTGAACAAAATTTATAAGTAACACTAATAATATATTTATCTCAATTATTTGCTTAAAAATTGGAATTTTTTTTTTATCAATTACTGTAAAACAGCTATTAAGTCTAATAAGGATAATGCATTTATTTAGATTTTAATTTAGTACCATTTTAATATCTTTGATTAAAGTAGAAAGCTCAAGCCAAGCACCCCAATGGCATGGTTGAATTTCCAATGATTCAATTAATAATCTTGTTGCTTCTTCACACCTGTCAACTTTTTTTAACATTACTGCTGCTAGCCACAGTAAGTAGGGATCTCCACAACCATTTTCAAGGCTTTTACAAGCATCAAATGTGACACTAACTTTGGATTGCACATTTTTTTTTCTGAATAAACTACTTTTATTATTTTTATTAGAAATGGTTTTTTTTTGGACATTGGTAATCATTGGTTTTAAATTGCTACGTCTTCTACTAGAACATCTCTTTATTGGTGTTGATTCATTTTGTTGATTAACATTAATTTTAAGATCAATTTCATCATCTTCCATTTCTGAAATAAAAGATGATTGTGATTGAATATCATCTTCAACTTCATCATCTTCACCACCATATACAGTAAAAATTAGAAGTTCGTCTAGTAATAATATAAAGTTTCGCTGCATATCTACTAATTTTGGTTCTTCAAATAAATTTGTACGTTCATATATTGATTGATTATATAAACTTATATATCTAGCCATATAATGCAAAAACATTGTTTCAGGGTTGTTAGAATTTTTTGATACATGAGCACATCTGAAAAATGATTTTAGAAAAATTAAATTTGTTATAATATCTAATATTTGTATTAAATTATTACGTGTAGTATTCTTCAGTTTCATAGTATGATCGTGCTTTACTATATATAAGGTAATCTTCGGTACTATCAAATTGATCGACATCATGATAGGCCATCATATCACCATCCACTCCTCTTTCATTATCAAATAATGGTGGAATTTCTTTTAAAGTTAATAATAACTCAGACAGCCTAATTANTAAAGTTAATAATAACTCAGACAGCCTAATTATAAAAAGTAAAACTTTACATACATATTACAATAACTTACATCCTCCTACTTCCCAAACTTAACATGCTACAAAGGGTGGTGGTCCTCTTTCTAATAATAGGGAACTAAAGATTGGTCTTGGCTTAGCCAATGGTTGATAGGACGGATATTATGGACGTCTTGCAGCAGGGACAAAATACCACCAATGATAAAATTATAAAAAAATCATGTTGGCATTTTAGGGATAAAAAATCGGGATCTTGTGCATCAAAACATATGTTTTTACCCACTAGGCCAAGCCGACTTCATAAAAGTTTACATAATAACTATATAAAAATAACTTGGTACTTTAAAACATTTAATAACATTGGATTCATTAAAAAAAATTACAAATATATAATGTTAATAGAAGAGGATACAACGATATTAAATTTACTTATGAATTCAAATATTTCAAAAATACAGGTTTATGCATTGTTACTACAAATATGTAAAACAAAAAAAATTGCTTTTTGATTGCTAATTCTTTAGCCATATTATTATTATATTCAAGGCAAATAATTGATTAATTTTATTAATACTTTTAAGTACTTCAATTAAAATAAATAATAGAATACATTAAAAAAGTAGACACATACATTTTACCACTGTGCAATAAACATCTATCTCGGCATTCTTGAAGGGCATATATTACTTCCCATTTAATATCTGATGAAATTTTATATTTTTTAATGTAATTTGAAAACATAATTTTTATTATTTAGGTATTTATATAATAAGTTTGTAAGATTTTTTGAAACTAAAATTTTTTAAAAAAAAAACATTGATAAACTGAAAATAATATAACAGATAAGATTATCTATGATAATATTATAATATTTTATCAATAATTTTTATCATTATCACGTATAACAATAGCATCAATGACTAGTGATTAATGTAATTTAAATTTCTTCATACTTTCTTTTTTTATTTTTTCTTTAAATTGAGGTTGGCCTACGTGAACATTTCTCCGGATAAAGGAAGAATTCATCTCTATAGGGTTGAATAATTTCATATATCTAGACATGTAGTCCGTTAGTTTTTAATATTTTTCTGGAATAGAGGGTATCTGGGGAAATTCAGGGGCTGAACTCTCCATAAATTTATCACTGCACGTAGATAGAATTTTATTTTTGAAAATCGTCTGTAGATGGTAAAACATAACTTAAAAACAAGAAAATAATACTCTGTCCATTCTTCAAAATACATATATGTATTATTTTTATAGAATATGAAATATGTTACTTTATATATATATATACTACGGACATACTGGTTTCTTAATACATATATCCATAGCTACTATATTAAAAATTTGTTTTTAATTTTCTATATTAACATCTAAACTGAAAATAGTAAATATTTGTACGATTTTTTTTGTTCGACAGTACATAAATAACATTAAGTTATAGGATAAAACTAAATAGAATGTCCGAAATTAAATCACTTATAACAGATCATAAAATAAGTGAAGATTTCATATACTTCTTAAGTTTCTTCAAAGACTCATTTGATACATTAAAAAAAGATAGCGAAAAAGAAATATGTAAGGTAATTTCTTAATTCACTATTGTATAAAATATAATGATTTCGATTTATTCAAAATAATTTTTATAGATATGGTTGGAAAAATTAGCCGTTGGACCATACAAAAGTACAATTGAGAGACAAATCAGAAATATATATTTATCACAGCTTATACTAAGTATTAATGAAAAAAAGTTAAAGCCACCATTCAACGCACTACCCGAAAATGGACCACTTCCTCAAGATAAATATTTTAAAGATGTTATGACCAAACCAGAAATGGCGATAAAGCAAGAGGTAATTTAACACCTAATATTAGTATAAAATGTATTATTACTGTTAATGAACAAGTCCTATGAAATTTATAATTAGTTAAATCAAGCTAAAGAATCCTGGGAAGATTTTGTGCATGACCGTGAATTGGAAATGATTGATTTAAGTCAGTTGTCCAAAGATGGAAGAACTTTTATAGCAGTTAAAACATTACCCAAAAATGCAGGTATCTTCACTTATGTGGCAGTATCATTGGGTGGAAACGGATCTTGTGGATGGGTTAATTCGTCCGGAAAACCCGTGTAAGACCATTTACGTACCTATTGTGGTTAAATAAAAACTGCCAGCCACTATAAATATTCAGTTGAATTAAGTCAGTTTTTATTGTGGATTGCAAACTTTTATGATCACTTACTTTTATATTATAGTTTGCTTAACATTTTTGACAACTCACAATAATAATAAATACTCATAAAAAATTAAAACTTATTAGTTCGAGCTAATTTCAAACAGTTGGTAAACCTCAATTTAATACTAATTTTGTCTATACAGTGGTCAGTAAGTAAGGAAACAGGTCAATTGTTCCAAGCAATGAGATCAATAGAAATCCATTTTTTTAATTACTTAACACTCTATATAAAAAACAATACTCAGGGTTGGTAATTTTTTTGCAAATTTTCTTTAAGCATAAATATAAAGAAAAAAGTTGTTTTCCTTTAAAAATATAGAATGATGCTATTTCTTTTTATTTTAATCAATATTTAAAAATATAAGTATTAAAAAACAAATAAATCAGTTCTAATGCAAAATTTATTGATGTTGTTATGATATGTTTATTTATTTATTTTTTGAGTCCGTCAATATATAAAAAAATATTATTTAGATATGTCATAAATGTAATAGTTATTGAAGTGGGGTTTTTTCTAAAAAAAAAATTAAACGATAAAATTATTTGGGTTATAGTGTGATAATACTGAACCCGATAGGATTTTGACCTATTTTGGATAAAACTCTTACGTCTAGGGTTTTTCCAACACTATATATACTTGAATTTTGGAAAATTGTAAGATAGTGGCTGAGACTACAAGCATTACTCGTGGATACGCCTGTTATGACAAATAAAAATTTTTAATCCCATAAGCTATTCCTTGGATTATTATCGACTATTTAAAAAAAGAATTTTTAACGATAAAATAAGCAAAAAGTAGATATTAATGTCTAAAAACTTTTTCAGCACCCCTTGAAAACAATTTTGCTTTGGATATACTAATTACAGAAAGTGATCTACTGAGTAGTGTAGGTAACGGTTGGGTTTAAATTCATCAATCGCGAATTTTTTTTTATGTAATCAAATAATATACAAAGTAATAAGGTGGGAATTATATATTAAATCCCCCCATAAATTATCTATATCTACGCCCTTGGATTTATTACATTTAAAAATAAGTCTTTATTTTTTGTCAAGTAATTGTTATTAGTTTACGATAAATCATATCGTATTATAAATTAATAGATTCTCTCCAGAAATTAAGTCAACAGATATGAAAGTGGAGACGTCTAAGGAATCAGAAAAGGATTGTTTTTTGCAGCAGGATAACATACAAAAAATTACAGCCGAAGTTAGGTCTGTGTTAGCTAAAAGAAAACCACCTGAGGCTCGTATGTTTACTTATCAATTCTACAAAAGCGTATATGATAATATCGAACAAGAAATGCTGAATGAACAAGACCCAAACAGCTTAGCTTGTCGTGATCCTTATATTGAAAAGATGCTTGAAATGCTAACAGTAAGTTGTAAAAAATATTTTAGAAAGCTTTTAAACCACCAAATTATTTTTATTTTATTTTCAGCGAGATATCCAAGCTTGCAATAATACTAATCCCGAAATGTTCAAACGCATTAAAATGCTTTCTATGTTGAAAAAAAAAGTAAAAGCTATCCTTTTGAATGTAAGAATACAAAATATTAAATTTAATTGCGATAAGTGATGCACTATTTATATAGGCGCAACTAGAGAGACTTGGCCTCCAAAATATAAAAAATTATGTTTATTATGTTATATAATAAAAAAAAAAATTATGTGAGGAGAAAATACATTTTGAACACTTCATAAATTTAATCCTAGTTGCGTCAATGGTTTTTTACTACATACAAATGGAAGGATTCTTAAGACACCACTATGTTAAAACTCAAAAACTAAGGAAAAAACATGTCTGTGAACTGGACACGTCTAGGTTGGCGAGAACGTAGAGTGCGATACGGTTTTGCTATAAAAATTCCGTATAAAAGGGAATGTTCAGCCAGATCTAGCGATAAACATGTTTTCAGATACAAAATTTTAAAAACCGAGTTGGGGATTTGAGAAAATATATGTAAAGTAGTAGATGGCGACGTTTCTTCAAAATTTTCCCTCATATAAGAAATGTATAACAAAATCGGATCGCCTAATTAAGCGTCGTGTTAAGTCTGTTTTATCTTAGTGACATACAGTAGTCGTCATTTGTTATAAGTACAATTCATTATTATCCATCTTATTTTAAAAAATTCAGGTATATTAATAGACCCATACTCATATTCAAATCAAGTTTATTATCATACATTGTCAAACGACCGACTTTATTTAATAAGAGGTGTCGATTTTTTTATTACCATAGAAAATATTCAACGGGTTTAAGGTAACCTTGAATGAAAAAAGATATTCATTAAAATTATTTTATGAGTAGTACCTTTTGAAATTTTGTTAAATTTTACAAGATAATTATTTAACTAAGTAAAACCCTTCTTCCTCTCAAATTAATCTTTAGCTCTAGCACAGCTAATAATTAACTTCATATTTTAAAATTATAGATATAAATTATATACATTTTAGATAGAGAAACGAAACAACAATTTGACTTCGATTGAAGTGTCTTCTTCTAGTCCAATCATGACACTTACAAACCCAGCGGCAAACTGTTCAAATTCCATGTCTGAAATGATGTGGCAAGAAGCTTTGTTAGAGAAACCAACAATAAAAGTGGCTGAATCGCTTTCAAAGACTTATCCAGTGTGTTTAGTCAAAACGTAAAGTAATCGAAAACCGTATTTGTAGATGAAAGTTCTTAAAATTATAAGCGCAGTTTATATGCTTGTAATTATTGTAGATTGTTAGCACTTTTGGCTCGGGAACGAAGAAAAATTATCAATCGGATGAAAGAAAAACAAGAAAATCTGATAAAAGCTATGAAAAAAGATTTACAAGAAGAAATAAAACGAGGTATTATTGCATATAAGGTAAGTAAAAATATTTTTATTTTAAAATTCAGCCGTAAAAGAAAAATTAAATGGTTTTAGACAGCCAGAATGGAATGGGTCAATGTTATGCGTATAGTTTTACATTATAACAAGTTAAAAGGCTCACTTACTGATAGAGAGTTAGGAGATTCGTCTGATAAAAAAGGTGAATATTTGCAGGAGACAATTCGCAAAGAAATCGAAAGCACTAAAAAGCGTTTAGATGTGGCTAATCAAAAAAATGACACCTTGCAAGAAGATATCTGTGAACTAAACAAGAACTTACATGAATTAACTGAAAAAGTCGACTGCGAAGAACAACAAGCTATTGATCAATTACGTCAACTTAAAAATGAAATATGCAGTGAAAAGAGTTCAATTTTACAAAGAACTCAAACTATTGAAGAACTCGAGAGAATGTTGAAAGAAATTCAGAAATAAGATTGGTTAATTTAAGCGATAGATAATCAACAGTCTAGAAAATTGTATAAAAAAAAAAAGTTTTAATAAAAATGTTAAACGATTTTTATTTTACCATACAAATCATTATGAAATGTTATCATTTTAATGATTAAATATTTATTTAATTTTATGTATAATAAATATTTACGTGCGAGAAGTGGTGTTTAGGACAATCCGTCAAAGTTAAAACTTTCCCACACATGATTCAAAAAATTGTATTTCCTCTATTAGTTAAAGTATATAAATTATATACCGGTTAATATCATATAGTATAATAGCCATTATAATATGATTTAGATCATTTTATCAATATAAACTTCTTTTTTAAATCATGTGTAACATAAATTTTTTTAATCATTTTTACTTATTTTTGACAGTTGTAGACATACCCTTTGCTAGTGTTCAAAGTGCTAGGCTTTTAGTGTATGCAAAAGCAAAAATTATGGGATTTATCAAATACTTTATTAAATGTAAAAGTAGTATTACGAAAGATACTACACTGTGGCGCAGCCAAAATTTCATAATAGTAAAAGTGTTATATAGTAAAAAATCTACAAAATCCCATGTTTTGCTTATTATTTAATTTTAGAAATAAATATTGCTGTCAATGGAGGGACCCAATCATTCATTGTACACAAATAATATAATATATAAACTTGACATTTCTAAAAGAAATTTACCTAAAATCATTAAGGCATGAATTAATTGACATAAGTATGTTAATACATTGGTAATGTATTATAATGTGTTTTTAATAGGTTATACTTTAAAAAAATTGACTTGAATATTACAATTTTTAAACCAAAAATAATTTGAAGTTTTAATTAATTGAATAAGTTTGTTTTGAATTTTTTGTATGAAAATACAATCATCACCAAAGCATTTATCCCAACTATTTGGGGTCCACTCTGCCTTATGGTTTATGGACAGGATCTATTCACCAGTTGTCAATATGACACAGCATCATTAAAGCTGAGGTAACCAGTATGAGAGCAAGGTGTGTGTTTTTGTTAAGTTTCCTTTATGGTTATCTATCCAAGAATCAACAGCAACAGTACAGATTGCCACTAGACAGTGATTGAATAATCCACTATGTTACATCACACCTCCAGGCGTATTGTAAGAAAATATAATATTTTAAAAATTATTGCTACTGGTTTGTTTTATTATGAAAATATTTTAATGCTTAAAATTAAGAAAAAAACAAAACCTAAAAAATGTTTTAAATTATCAAACATTTACAATGGCTACACCAGTGTTTTTAATCCTTATTGGATATTTAATTTCTTTTGACTCCTATCATAGGTGCAACATTATTAAAACTGTACTCGGAAGATCTTTAATAATTAGGTTAGGACAAATTGATTGAAAAAAGAATGGGTGGTACTAATTAAAAAGTTATTTATAGTAGTTATAAAAAGTAATCACACTACATAATCAATAAACTCATGTTTTGTTAATAAATCAATAAATAACAATTATATTCTATCAATGTAAAAGTCACTATACAAAATTTACAGCATATAATTATTTTACAATTTATAGACTGACTATTATAATAATTTTACTCCCAAAACATTTGTTTCATTTAACATATTGGCATTTACCAATTAATTGAATCTAAAAAAAATTTTTTGATTAGTGTATAAAATTAATTCAACACTAAAAAAATTAAGCTACCAAACTATATTTTACATTACTACAATAATAAGAAAATTAAATATATAAATAATTAATTTTTTTAATTTTTGATAAACACAACAAATTACAATATTTTACTAATTATAACTATAAAATACTATTTTGATAATATTATTTAAAAATTACCAAATTCAATCATATATTAAAACTTTCACCACATCCACATGTTCCTTTAATATTGGGATTGTAAAATACAAACTCTGATGATAATTTTGTTTGTATATAATCCATTTCTGTGCCAAGTAATGTTAATTGAGCTTTTCTATCAATAAATACTCGAACTCCTAAAATGTACAATAAATTTTGATTAATAATAATTGAATTGTTTTTAAAAGGAGGTAATGGCTAATCACTAATTTTATAAAATAATTGTAAAACTTTAAAAATAATAATATAAATATAATTATTTAAAATTGTAGATTTTATATAACAAATACCATCTTGAACAACTTCTTCATCTAATTTATGCATTTCTTCAGCATAATCAAGGGTGTAACTAAGACCATTACAACCTCGTTGTTTTACTCCTATTTTAAGGCCAATCTATAATAAAATATAAAAAACTTTATTTATAATTACACTAAAAAGTAATCTAAAATATCTTACACATTCAGGTTTTACGGAAAGGATTTTTTTCAATTGTTTTATGGCAGATGGAGTCTATAAAAAAAAAAGAAATTATTAATCAATATTTAATTAATTAGTCTAATTAAAACATAATACGTTAGCAAAAAGTCAATGAAAATTTTTAACTTATAATTATATTTATATTCTTATTTAAAATTATACAAAAAACATGTTATTATTATTGTAGCATAATAAAAAATATATATAATTGTTTTCAATAATACACTTTAAATATATAACAATAATTAAAATATTACTTAAATAATACTTTTAATAATTTCAAAATAAAGTAAGATAAATATTATTGTTAAAAGGAATTAAAAGATAAATTAAAGTAGCATGAAAATTTACGATGGTAATTATGTTTACGTTGAATATTATAGTTGTAATACAAACCAAGGTGAGAGCTGCTTTTGTTGTTCGTTTAGTTCCTAACACTGCTCTGACTGAGGCAGTAGTAATTCGTCCTGCCATTAGAGTTAGGCAAATCACACAAAATTTACGAACTATGGACAATAACTAAGTAACATATTCAATTGTAATTAAATTATGAATAAAATTGTTAGTAGAACTTTAATTGATAAACTCAAAATATATTTTTATCAAGAAAGCTATAATTAAAAATAAAAACTTATTTAATAGTTATTAAGTAAATGTGTGTATTTTTATAAATTAAATAATGAAATATAAGTAGATACTTTATTAGCTACTTTTCACTTTTTCAAAATTTTATTTCATCATAAGATGATATTCACTCAGTTATATTTTCAGCTGTTGTAGAGATAAGTTATCTCAGATAACTGATTTTAATAGACATTCTGTGATTATATCACGAATAATTCTTTATATATTTTATTATTATCATAGTAAAATGAATTCATTTTACTATGGTTATTATCACAATTATATATTAGAACATAGATAAAATAGAACGTTTTTAAGAAAGTTTTATAATAACTGTATAAATAATATCAATTAATATATATTTGTAGTTATTATACCACATGAAAACCTAACACTTGAAAAGATGTAGATATTTCATCTTATCGCTTATGTTTTATTCTGGTAGCATTTTTTAATTTCTTTGAAAAATATTTCTGAAAATTTCAAAACTGTAAATTGTAAGATCCTGCGTTAAACTTAAAATATTTTCAAAGGAATAACTATGATATAATTAACATTGATGGTTTTTAATGTTGATTATAGAACTAGTTATCATAAAAAATCTACATTTTACCATATTTGGCATACTATATCAAATATCTAAGTATAGTTGATAACCATCGCATATTTTCGCCAATGTTTAGTTCACACAGGAGTCGAGTACCAAATCTTTTACTCCAATTGTTAAATTACAACAAAGTTACCATCGAGATTGTTGCTATCATTTAAATCCACAAATGACATGGTAAAGTTTTTAATGATTATATTTATTATAATTGTGGACAATATTATTTATAAAAATACTATTTCACAAAATGTTAAAAACTTTCAATTTTCAGGTAAATATGTATATCTTGCAATTTTATTGTAGGATTAAAATTTTATATTTAAAAAATTAGACTTAACTATTCACTATTTCATGAAAGTGCATATATACATGCTTCCCAAATTTGCTTTAAATATCATGTACACTAAGAAATCACTATTGGAATTATTCTACTACACAATTTTTCAAAAGACAAATTTTTAATTTATGTAGTTAAGGATTAACTATCCACAGAAACTATAATTTATTGTTATTAGCAAAAAAAAGTGACATGTATTAATACTACTTGCACTTTAAAGAACATTTAATTAGATTACCCTTAATAAGTGCCAATTTTTGTTTGCTAAAATTTGGTTTAGCAGCACAAATATTAGAACTAAATAAATATGTTTTTAGGTTTATTTATAAGTTTTATTCATTTTAAGATAAAACATAATGCTTTAATATTGCATATATATTTAGGCATGAGACTGCAAATGAGATACTTGCTGAAATAAAAAAAACATGGTGCATGTTATATCCTGGGTACCAAAATCAAGGGTTGAAATGCAAAATTACCCCCCTTAAATCAATTAAACAAATAGGACCAACGTAATTACTTTTTGTCTTATTATTAGTAATTTTTTATAAAACTTGTATACCAATTTTATAGTTGTGGATTGGTTGTATTATGCATGGCTGAACCTTTATCAGATTTTAGTGAACCTCGCGTGACAATTGATTTATTGTATAATGAAGCAAAAAAACGAGGTTTCACTAAATTAGGTGAAATGTTTTCTACTTCCCAAATGTGTGAAATGGCTGATTTATTTTTAGCTAACTGGTACAAAATTTATCATATTAATTATTCACTCATCAAGGATAAGTCATTTATTGTAAAATTGATAAAAGATGATTGTTTAATCATTATATGGTATATATTTTTAAATTTTAAGACTTGCTATACAGTTATTACATCTTCAGTAATTTTTTATTTTATTAGTTATGATGATGATCGCAATATGATGCCAACAGTTAACCAAGGACACACAGCACACTGGGCAATAATTTGTGGAATGATAGGAGAAGACCATGTTATAGCGAGACATGGAAAAAAATCAAAATATAGTGTGTGGCCCATAAATGATTTAGCAGCTAGTAATGATGGATTAATAGAAGTGAAACCTACTTTATATCTAAACATGGATCATTACGTTATACCTAAAGATGGTATTATAAAAAAAAGTCTAGCATCACAATTCATGGTTTTAAAACCAAAGAACAAATCTAAAGTAATTAATTCATTAACTATAATAATATAGAGTGCTTAATAAGTTAAAAAAATATAATTTTTTAAGAAAAAATTTTGGCATTATAAAATAGTAATGTTATTTTAACTTTACCGTAAATTTATTTTTTCCTTTGGATCACTATTAACACAAATAAAATATTAAATTAATATAAGCAGTAAAAATTAACTCTAAAGTAAAGAATTAGGTATTTCCTTATTTATTAATTTACTGATCATGCAAATAGGTCAAAAAATCAATTTTAATTCTAAGAGTATGCTATATTATAATATACATTTTTATTTTATAAATTCACAGATTCTACAAATATAGATGAGACATCACATTTTAGATAATATTTAAGGACGGCAAAATTATAGTAACTATAAATAATATTATTTATAATTACTGATAACTTATAACTGTTGATGCTTTAAAATTTTACTATAATTTTTTTAAAGAATTTTTGAATCCTTACATTATGTTACAATCATATTTTTTGTTATTTGTTTTTGATAATATAACATTTTTTTTTATTTTTTCTGATTTTTGCAACAATATAAGTAAAAATATCAAGTAATAAACTATGAAAAGTTTCATTAATATCTATGTTTACAAATATATTTATGTTTTCATGTTTGTACTGACATTTTGAACTTAAGAATGTTCATCTTTGGAACAATAATTTCAGGTTCAAAGATGAATTTTGCAACGAGTTTGAAACGTTAGCACAAAACTGAAGGTATGGATATATCTGTAAATATTCTAAATAATACAACAATCCATGAAATCATTAACATATTCATAATTTTCATTAATTTATTTACAGTAGTTCCTAAAAAAAATTTAATTTGATTATAAAAGAATAAGGATTGTCTATTTTATTTTGTTTTCCTTTTAAAATAAGTACTTTTTGAGTTTTTTCAATATTCATTCCAATTAGTTATATATATATATATATATTTTTTTTAACAAAATAATTTATTTCCAGACATTAAATATTCAGTTTTGATGATTATGACAAGTATACAGAAAAAAAATTTTAAATTAAATTTGTCTTAAAACATAACATTTGGATTATTGTTGAAAGTGTTAAATTAAGAATCAAGCTAATTTGTATGAAAAGTTATGTATGTAAGTAAAGAGTCCAATGTTTAACACAACGTAGCACATGGTCTATATTTAATAGTTACCATTTTAATTTATAATTTTGATTTTAATATTATAAGTTAATAAATATTATATATTTATATTATTTTTTAAAAAATAAATGTTCAGTTTGTAATAAAGAATAATTTAGTGTACAATAATTTTACCTATAATTTTTTTATTCCAAATATGTGTTTATTAACTAAAAGGTATATACTTTTAAGGATTTACTCAATAATGGAATTTATATTTTTTAATTTAGCAAGCCAGTTCTTTTAAATTATAATACAATAATATGATTATTAAAAAAAATGTTTTGTTGAAAAATTGTGATGCCTACATCATGCTACATTAATGATATTAATAAAAAGTTTGAACTAATTTATAAAATATGTTTAAATTTGTTCAAGGTTTTAACAATAATATCAAAGTAGATAAAGCTAGTAATGATACTATAACCACTTATATTATAGGTTTTGAAAAAAAAAGTAGTCAATTTAAATGAAAAGATAAGTTATATTATTGGTCGTAAATGTTGTCAAAAAATATTTCAGTTAGTATTATGTCAAAATAATTAATAATTGCATATGTAGTGTTAAATTATTATATTTTTAGGGATATATTTCACTTAATACAAATAATAAGAAATTGCCTTTTAATAATAACAGGTCTTATTTTAATCTGAGCTAGCGGATTTTAGCCGTTCATCAATTGACGGCTATGATTTACTGGACAGTTATTAATTATTTAGTATTTTTCCAGAAGGTAAATGGCGCTATCTTTCCAGATATAAATTAACAAAAATTCGGTTGCTAATAGCCTGATTTCCGCGGCAATACCTATAACATAGACATAGTGTATTTAATCTATGGTTCTATGCTTTTTTTCATTGATTTTATAAACATGTTTATAAGATCTACGTTTATTTTATTTTTTTTTTGTCTATAAATACATTGACCAACTTTTTAAAACTTAAAACCAATAAACTTGATATTGATAATTTTTTTTTTATCATTACCCTTGTAATATGATAACTAAGGTAATGTCTCATTATCAATTAAAGGTTGCCGCTGCTCCCGAGTTTCATTAATGTCCGAAGCATCAAATAGTTGTAAATCATATAATATGATGTTTAATATTAATATATAACATCATACTGTACTCAATGGTAATACTGTATGTTTAAATTCATCTGTGGGATATGTTGATAATTAACTAATTCGATTTTTTAATAGTCATAATAGACGAGAGGATATTAGTTAGTATTATGTTATTTTTTATTTTCAGTGTATTAATTTTTTTTTAATTAGCTTATTCATATTTATATTGTTTTTAGATTAATTTGAAATGGAATTATTAACTTTTAGACGTCCTATTGTTGTATGTTTATTAAAAAATCGCAAACTTTTAAAGAAATGTATTTCACACAACCAACGATATATTAGTCATGTCACACAACGCCGAATGTTGAATAACCCATTGTTTAGGTTACATCACCCTCAAATATCGAGAAATTTTGCAATATTACGTGTTTTAAACCATGTTTTAAAACTTCGATATTTAGTATTAGGTGGTGCAGTAAGTGGTGGAGTAACAGTCTCAAAGGTAAATAAAATAAAATTTTTGGTATGTTAATTATTATTTTATTATTTGATAGACTTATATAATCTATTGATGTAAAATGTATAACTTAAATTTATTTTACTAGAAATACCAAGAGTGGAAAGATTCTCTACCTGATATAAGTTGGTTAGAAGATATACTACCTAGTAGTGAACAAGTTAATACATTACAAAACTCATTGAAATCAATATTAGATGCTGTAAAGAACATTGAATATGGTAGGTAATTTAAGTATACTAATTTTAAGGTGGAAGAACTTAAATATTATGTTCATTTAGTATGACCAAATATCTAAACTTAAAATTGAAGTGAGCCGTAGAAAAAAGTGTGTTTATAATTCTTCTTGTTAAATTTCAGCTGTTATTATTTTTAATATCCAATTAATTTCATTTTATTTTTCATTACAAAATTAGTTTATTTTGTTTGTTATAGATTCTGAAGAATCTAACAAATTGGAAAAATTTAAAAGCTGGCTTGGGTATCATATTGATGAGGCATTTAAAGCTGCTGAGGTATCTAATTCAGATACCTCATTTGAAATGGATGTTCAATGTGAGTGTCTATAAAAGTTTAATAATTTTTTTTGGTTGCATACTTGTTTATATTCTTTTTGTTTTAATATTTTTTTAATTAAATTTTTTATTTTAAGTTCTTCCATTTATATTTTGGTATTGCCTTTTTTTGCAGTTAGTTTTTAAGTTACTTTAATTATATTTCAACTTAAAATAATATAATATAGAGTACTGTGTTAGAGATTATACAGGTTATATATTATCTGAGAGTTTTTTAATAGGTTTTATGTAACTGTCCTAAAATAAACTGATATTAATTTTCTAATGCTTTTCTAAATACTCAAGATAATACTTTAAACTTATGATTTTTTTCATATTATCTGTAATTGATTTATGTATTTAAAACATATTCTAATTTAATATACATATTATTATTATTATTATTTTTTAATTTATTGTAAATTGCTTTGTATGTATAATAAAAAAAAAAATATTAAAATTAAATAAATTCTGAATTTTAATGAATAATTCAGGGAAATAACAAAATTTCATACATATTTTATATTAAAATAATATAACATTTTATTTTATAAGAATAATTAACTACCTTGAAATATAATTTTAGCTGAATTTTTGTCTCCTGCTATGGTTGAAGCTGCAACCTCAAATACTTCTGAAACATCTAGAAAAATAGGTATGTTTTTTTTTTAAAAAAAATTAATTAAATATTATAAACATTCAATAATTTGTATACTCTTTGTAATTCATTTTTTGCCATTAATGACATAAATGATCATAATTTCAAGAACTCATAAGTACTATATTCATGATAATCAAATTATTTTAGTAATCAATAAGTACCGGGAATGACTCATTTAAACAGCGCACGGTTGTCAAATCCAGTAATTTTTTTTTCTCAAGTTGGTACACCCTTATTTGACATCTCTGACAATTTTGAGCGGTATTGCATCATTATTATGTGTTTGACAGCTGTAAACAATAGATTACATTTTTTTATTTCGTCGCATTTTACAATAGAAAAATCAGTTGAGCAAAGAATCTGTTTGAAATTTTGTGTTTCCAATGATATTACGTGCAAAGATGCATTGGAAATTTTGAAGAAAACATATGGGGATTCTATTATATTGGAAACTAAAGCATACGAATGGTATAAAGAGTTTAAAAGTGGCCGTGAAGTTTGTGAGAATTTGCAGCGTGCGGGGCCATAAACATCAAATACTGAAGAAAACGTCGCATTGGAGAAGAAATTAGTTTTAGAAAATTGTCATGTGAGTATAAGAGACGTTGCTGATGAAGTAAAAATCTCTTATGGAACGGCACAGCACATAATTTCCAATATTATGGGTATGCGATGCGTTGCAGAACTGTTGGTGCCAAAAGAGTTGAATTTACTCCAAAAAGAGCATCGAAAGGGTGTGGCCGAAGAAATGATTTGGGAGACATCTAACGACCCTATATTCATGAAACGCATCATAACTGACGACGAGACATGGGTCTACGAGTATGACGTGCTAACTAACCAGCAATCATCTGAATGGCTTGCTCCCCACGAGCCAAATCCATAAAAAGCACGCCAAAGTCGCTCAAAAATCAAGGTATGCTCACTTTATTCTTTGATTACCGTGGTGTAGTGGACTTCGAATACTTACCACACGGCCAAACCATTAATAAGGAGTATTTTATTGGCTTTATGAAGCATTTGAGGGACGCAGTGCGTTGTAAACAGCTGGATTTGTGGGCGGCCAACAATTGGATTTTACACCACGACAATGTGCCAGTTCACAAAGTCAAGCTAGTGCAAGACTATTTGATGAAACACGACGTTGAAAAACTTCAACAAGCACCGTATTCACCCGACTTGGCACCGTGTAATTTTTTTTTGTTCTCCCGACTGAAATTGCCGCTTTGTGGGCATCATTTTGAGTCGCTGGATACGATCAAAGAGAATGCGACGAAGAAACTCAAGGCCATTCCGGCTCAGGCCTTCCAACGCTGTATGGATGACTGGGTTAAGCGCTGGAATCTTTGTATTGCTTCAAATTGAAGCTATTTTGAAGGAGATTGAATAAATTTGGAAGAAAATTAACACAATTTTGTTTTATTGACTCATTCCCGGTATATATTGATCATAGTGTATATAGTGAAATTTTATAATTTAATATAACTGATATGTAATGGAAAGATGGCTTTTATTTTTTATAGAGATCACCTAAGCCCTCTCCCAAATTTCTATATAAGTCTTAAAGAATTTAAATTTTTTAGCCTGTCTTTAGTTGCTTAAACTGAGATATTTTTAAGGATATTTTCTATGTTTTAACAGATTAAATTTACTAGTTTTCATACTAGAATTTGAGTTTTTATTTTATAAAAATGTTTGATACATTGTAGATATGTTACAACAAGAAATTATAGAAGTTCAACTAAGATATCAAAAAGAGTTGGAACGTCTTGAAAAAGAAAATAAAAATTTACGGAAGCAGATTTTACTTAAAAATAATCAAAAGATTAACATGAGAAAAGTTAAAGTAAAAAATTTAAATTATTTTAATAAATTATTGTTAGTAAGGTGTTTTAATGCCATTTAAAAAATGTTTTTGTTTAAATATTGACACAATCACCTGAGATTAATGGCCAGTCATTTAATGTGCACTAAAAATAAAAAAAGATGCATGATTTGGGATTAGAACCTTTAAACTAAGGCGAAATAAAAACAAATCTTACTACTAGGCCACCATGCACTTATGACTCATATCCCAATATACTTCCATATAATAATATGGTATGCAACTGAGGGGGGAAATATGGTACTACGTCAATTTGTTATAAATCAAATATACAAAAGTTAACATAAGAGCTAAATTATTAATTATAGATAATTTTAGCAAACTTGCACTCATAAAAAAAAACATATATATATATATTTCATTTAAAATTTACATCCTATTTGATGGATGATCAGAGGAACTCCTNTAAATCAAATATACAAAAGTTAACATAAGAGCTAAATTATTAATTATAGATAATTTTAGCAAACTTGCACTCATAAAAAAAAAACATATATATATATATTTCATTTAAAATTTACATCCTATTTGATGGATGATCAGAGGAACTCCTTTATTTAGAAAACTTCATTGATTTCTCTCCTTCCCATATTTCACATAATTCCAATAACTACTAAATCTGTACTTGGTCAGAAACTGATCAATCTATACATGTACAAATAAAGGAGCAATGTTGTTCATGAAAATAGGATTGAAGTTTAAAATGGAGCAAACTTGGTCATAAAATAGATATTGGTTTACAGACTTTTTTGGGATTGAGAGGTTGGAATTTGTCTCTTTTTCACAGTAAGGTTTTTCTTAAGGATATTATTTTTTTTTGCTGGTTTAAGCTAGCGAAATGACCTACCTGCCAACTTTAAATAAGAATCCTTCCTGTAAGATTGTTTGTTTTTAGAAAATAACAATTTTTTAATTTTTCCTTTACTTTATAAAACCTACATTTATGCCAAATTTCATGTTTCTATCTACATAGGAAGTGCATTATAATTTTAATAATGGATTACTCAGTAAAAAAATTAAAATTCTAAAATTTTACCAATTTGAAATTACTTAACATTATGAAGGGTTTTTTTTACAATGTTCTAAGCTATTTGATTCTAAATTTTCAAAAATTTTAAGAGAAAACAGAGGTTAGAAAAGCTGGGTTAATTGTTTTGTGTAAAGATACATTATCATTACTAGAACTTGTGTCTAGCGTGCTTCACATAAATTAGTTTCATTGTTATATTATGAATAGTATTATAACACTTACATAACAAAAAACAAGCAATCTTTGATTATTATAATGGGAATTAAAAGTAATATTCTGGTTCATTTTTTAGAAATCATTAATTGATATGTACTCAGAACTATTAGATGAGTTAAATGATTATGATTCAAGCTATCAAACACAAGATCATTTGCCTAGAGTTATTGTAATTGGAGATCAAAGTTCTGGTAAAACATCAGTATTAGAGATGATAGCTCAAGCAAGAATATTTCCAAGGTAATATTTTAATTGACTAAATTGAGCTTTTAATAATTAAAATAACTAATATTAATAAACAATTATTGTTTTAGTTATTAAAAATGTGTTATTTTGATTTATAGAGGAGCTGGAGAAATGATGACTAGAGCACCAGTTAAAGTAACACTTAGTGAAGGTCCATACCATGTAGCTCAATTCAAAGATAGTGCAAGAGAATTTGATTTAACTAAAGAATCTGAATTAGCTGAATTGAGAAAAGAAGTAAGAACTCAAAAAAATAATGATAAAAATCAAAAAATTTATTCCATATAAAAATATGTTACCTTCTCATTCTGCTTGAGTTATGTAATTATTTTATTATGTAACATATTATTAGATATTTTTTCATGTGATAGGTGGAAATAAGAATGAAGAATAGTGTCAGTCGCGGAAATTCTGTTAGTAGCGAAGTCATTTCTATGACTGTACGTGGTCCTGGACTACAACGAATGGTTCTTGTTGATTTGCCTGGGATCATAAGTGTATATATTATTATTATAAAATATTTTCTTTAAGTCATTTTTTTTTTTATTTGATTTAGAGTGTTACTCAAGGTATGGCACCTGATACTCGAGAATGTATTCGTCAAATGTCTATGTCATATATGTCCAACCCCAATGCCATCATACTTTGTGTTCAAGATGGATCTGTTGATGCTGAGAGAAGTAATGTTACTGATTTAGTTTCACAAATAGATCAGCTAGGACGTCGTACAATTTTAGTTTTAACCAAAGTTGATATGGCTGAAAAAAATATGGCTAATGCAGATAGAGTAATAATAATATTTTGTATTAAAATTTAACTTGAATTTTATTAATTTACGAATTGTTAACAGATAAATAAAATTCTTAGTGGCAGTTTGTTTCCAATGAAAGCTCTTGGTTATTTTGCTGTTGTTACTGGTAGAGGTAATCAAGAAGATAGCATTGAAAATATAAAAGAATACGAAGAAAAGTTTTTTAGGAACTCAAAGCTATTTAGGTAAGAATATCTGAATTATTTTCAGTTAAAATAATATTAATTAATTGAAATTATAATTTGTAGAGAGTCTGTTGGGATATCGTCACAACTTACAACTAAAAACTTAAGCATGGCTGTTGCTGATTGTTTTTGGAAAATGGTACGTGAAACAGTTGAACAACAAGCTGATTCATTTAAAGCTACAAGATACAATTTAGAAACAGAATGGAAAAATAATTTTCCTAGGTATGATAATATTTATATTAACCTTTTCTTGATTAAAGCATCTTCTGATATCTCAAATTACAAAAAAAAGATTTTGCTGTTATTTTAAGGGAGTGACAGGAATTTATACTTTTTTAAAGGTCTTGTGGTAGATACAATTAGCTCATCAAAAAATTACAAAATTATGTATTTTGTCTTATACATGTAGATCACAGGATTTATAGTTTAGAGAGAAAATACGTCCTCAAAAATATTATTTTAATAATAATTAACCTATGGGCCTTACAAAAAAAAAATATTATGATTAAAATATTTTTGGTAGTTATTTGTATTTTTTATAAAAATAATGTCTATAAATTTAATAAATTAAAAACAAACCTATGTCATTAATCTATAGGAACATTTCTTTTAATCTTGGCATTCATAATATAATGTTATAAAAAAATTTTTTTTATCATTTTATTAATAAAAATTTTATGATACACAATGATTAAAAAATTTAATAAGCAAAAATTCAAGGAGGTAACTGCACAGTTCTCCCTCCTGTGAACACCCATGTAATAGAAATTAAGTAGGTTATTTGGAGTATTATATTGTAATTCAGCTGGTTGAAGTTACATAGTATTATAAAAAATAAAAATTTTTATTATTTATTTATTTTTATTATTTTATTACTTGAAACAGATACTTAGAGCTGAATAGAGATGAATTATTTGAAAAAGCACGTGGTGAGATTATAAATGAAGTTGTTGATTTAAGTCTTATATCAGTCAAAGATTGGGAAAGAGAATTAAGCGATGCTCTGTGGAATGGCATATCTCATTATATTATAGAAAATGTATATTTGCAAGCAATGTATGAAGCTAACAAAACAAATAATCAAGGTTAGTTTCTAGTTAAAAATTAACATTTTTAAATTATGATTTATTGTAATATAAATTTTATAGTTTTATAAATATATTTTTTTTATTTTACAGCAAGTTTTAATACTGTAGTTGATATCAAGCTAAAACAGTGGGCTGAAGAAATGTTTCCCCGGAAATCAGTAAATATTGCTTGGACTGTTTTGAAACAAATGTTTAGAGTGATTTTTGAAAATCAAAAAGTTCAAGCTGCTGATGAAATTTTAGATAAATTAAAAATGGCTGTGATTGATGATGCATTATCAAGACACGCGTGGGAAGATAAGGTATGAACTTATTTTTCCATAACTTAAAAAAGTAAAATAATTAGCTTTTTATTAGGCATTGGAGAGTTTACGGGTTATGCAGCTAAGTATGATCGAAGATAGAGGAATAAAAAATAAACATGACTGGGAAGAAGCTTCTAAGTTTATGATTTCTACTTTAGAAAATAATTTGAAAGTNGAAGCTTCTAAGTTTATGATTTCTACTTTAGAAAATAATTTGAAAGTAAATGAATTTATTATTTATAGTAAAAAATTTACAGCTAAATTTTCCATGTATCATTTTCAGTCAACTGAAGAATCTCTTAAAGAAATGGTTGGACCATCCACTTATGAAAAATGGGTGTATTGGCAAAATTCTAATAATGAACAAACAAAAAAAAATTATATAAAAAGTGAAGTAGAAATTTTATTAAATTCCAATAAAGTAAGATTTTTTACTTAAGTTAATTATTTATAAAAAATTTAGTTAATCTTAATTAATTTTTTTTAGAATCATAGTAATTTGTTAAGTAAAGATGAACAAATTACCATTGTTAACAATTTAAAACAAAAATTAAAAGTTCCATGTAGTTTGGATGATATATGGGAGACGTGGCATTTGGTCTACAGACGACATTCTTTTAAAATGGCTCTACAAAATGCCAAAGAAAAATCTAAACAATTTTATATTTATCAACAATTAACATTAAAACATGATCAAGCTCATGTGAGTCATTATTTTAATTTTTAACTTACAAAATTCATATAAATAGTAAATGTTTATATATATATATATATATTAAATTTAGGTTGAATATTGTGAACTTGAAATGTTTGCTCGAGTATTACGAACCATAAAAGTAACTGCTAGTTTGTTACGGCAACAAATCACCAATAGAGAAGGTAAATAGAATATTTTAGCTAGGTATATTTTAACAACCAAAAAATTTGTTATATATTACTGGTTTGTTTTGACATTAATTTTAACAAAGTCTCGACATCTTAAAATGATTTTAATCTAATTTAAAAATTATGTAGACATTATTTAACTAAAATTGTTATCAATTTTTAACTTCAGGTAATGATCTCTTTATAGGGATCATTTTATCAAAAGCTCGCAATAAAGTTATCTGTTTTGTATACCACATTTAGTATCTTATTAGTGAGATTTTCAATATGAATAAAAAAAATATATATAAGTTACCATTCAAACTTTAAACCTTAAAAAACAATACTTTTTAATTTTTTACTCACTGATTTAACGTTAGTTTTTTCATTTATATTTTTGTAGTTAGACGTTTGCATCATGAAATAAAAGATGTTTTGGATGATTATAGTCAAAATTCAGATATTAAGTGTAAACTCCTGACTGGCCGTCGTGTAACTCTAGTCGAAGAATTAAGTAAATATTTTATTATCTTAATATCTTAAAATCTTAATTTTTAACAACTTAAAAATTATATATCTAAAAAATAAGTAATTATTTCATACAGCTCACTGTAATTTTTTTTATTTATAGATAAAGTTAGGGCAATTCAAGAAAAATTAGAAGAATTTATTCATGCATTAAATAAAGAAAAATAAATATCCCTTCATTTTATAGCTTTGTTTCCATTATGTTTAAATATATGTGTTACATTAGATGAGTTTTTTATTTGTCTTAGTTCTTTCATGATTAAAGAATTTTCAGTGCAAGTCTCATGAAAACCACAAATTCTCTTAAAATATACTTTTTATTTTCACTTGCAAAAACTTGAATATATTTCATTTCTTTCATAAAGGGTAGTTCTTACATTTAATTAAGTGTAAACTGGATATTAATTATAAATATTGATTAATAATATGTAATTTACCAATATTTCTTCATACTATAAGTTTTTAAGAAATATTAAAACAAAATTTAATTTACTTGTTATTAACTTAAGTTAATAACAAAAATATTTCACTATATTTATATTTTATAACATGTGATATAAAAATAAACATTATGTAATCCTTTGGAATCCTTATTAAATATGTTAGCTCATATTGTTTGGGTTTTGATTAATTACAGGCATTTTTCAATGGTTTAGCTAGTGAATTTAATCAATAGGTTTATGGTTAGTTTCAACATTTAGTTTATACTTAAGCTTAAATCTGTCTTGATGCACTAACAAAAATTAACATGTTATTAACAAAATTAATTAATTTTTACTACTTAATAGTCTAGTCTAGTAAAAATATTGAAATATTTTGGGTCAAAGTGAAAAATTACTTGGATTTTACTAGTGGCGTAATTTAGTAAATTGCAACATATCCAGAATGTTATCAAGGATAATACGCAGAAACAATTTTTACATGACTATATAAGTAATTTATTAAGTTTCGTCTGAAGAAGGGAGATGGATTCCTATTTTTTCTACTGACCATTTAATGGTAATTATCTATAGCTGATTATTTTTAATGTAAATGTACAAGAAGACGATACTGAATTTTCTTTTCAGATATTAGAAAACGACACAAAAAAGTATAATTTATAATTAAAATTTTCATTAAAACTTTCAAATAATAAATTTCTTAATAGAAAAATACTGTGATTTTTATTTTATATTTTAAACATTAAATTAGTTAATAATACCTCTATGCATATACGAGGCAAAAATGAAATAAGTCCTCTAATTATTCAAAAAACTATATACAATGTGGTATAACAATATTTCTTGGAGGAGGAAACTATAATTATCCCTTCTAAATTTTTGTAAAACTACTTTTATAACTTTTTTATGTTCTTTGAAATATTTTACAATGAAGTAGCCGGGGTGATTTATTGGAATTAATATTTTACCCTTAATCTACCAGTCCGTGTGTCATCTGAATTAGTTCTTAGTCATCTAAATATCATTTTATTAAAAAATTTAAGTCAATACTAGGAACACGCCATGCCAACTAAATAACTATTTCTTTAATTAACATTGACTTAGGCCCGTGTTTTTTTTGTTTTTTTCAATAAAACTTACAAAAATTGTATATTTTACTAAATGTTTTAATTTAAAATTTAATTAAAAAAATGCACATTTTTCTGGCCTTATTGCATAGTGTACATTTTATTTCCAGGGTGTTTAAAATTTTGTCTGCAATAATATTTAAAATGAATATTTAATTTTACTGTTTTTAATCATTTTGATTGTTTGTGGATTTTATTTTTTAAATCAAGTGAAAACGTCCTGTGTCATAAGTAAAATGTTGAGTAAATTTTTGAAAAACAGAAATTTGGTGGAGTCCTGTATAAGATACTCGACTGGGGCCTGCCCTCCCCCTAAAAAGGGTTTAGTTTTGGGTGTATACCGCGAATGCAATCAGAATGAATTGCGTTTGTCGACGCAAGCGCAGAATTTTAATGACTCTATACAAGGCAAAGCCGAAGAATTTTTATTGACATCAAACATTGCCGAGCAACCAGTCGTTGTAGCCCATAATCTACATCCAGATTACTTCGCAGTGGCGTTCGCTGGCATAGGGCCAAAAGATGCAAAATTTAATAGCCAAGAAAGCCTAGAAGAGTGTTTGGAATGGACAAGAATAGGGGCGGGTTTAGGCGCAAGAGCGTTACATCAGTACGGCGTGGATCAGATTTACGTGGAAAACATGTCCAGCCCGGATGCGGCGGCTGAAGGGTCAGTCATGGGCGTTTGGGAGTTTGACGCGTACCAAACTGACGAGGAATCTGTAAGAAGTATTGTATTACCGTTTAACGTCAGCGATCCAAACTTATGGAAATACGGTACTATAACTGGCGAAGCGACCAATTTAGCACGTTACATCGCCCATTTGCCTCCCAACGAGGGCACTCCAGAGGCAATAGCAAAATTTGCCATCGACAATCTTTGCAAGTGTCAAGTCAATGTGGACGTACGCGATGTTGAATGGATAGAGCAAAAAAAACTCAATTCAATATTGAACGTAGCAAAAGGATCTAGGCGACTCCCGCTGTTACTGGAACTATCTTATTGCGGAGGAGTAGCTGATCAGAAACCGGCAGTACTGATAGGCGACGGATGTACATACGACTCGTGGGGCTTGTGTCTGCAAGATAACCAACAAGTCGATTGGGGTATGTACGGAAAATCTGGAGCTGCAGCCGTAATAGCGGCCATGAAAGGTATTGCTCAGCTGTCTTTACCATTGAACGTCAACGCGTTGGTACCTTTGTACGAAAACAAACCGGGAGCGATGGCTTTAAAACCGGGATCAGTCATTAAGACATTCGATGGCAACACCACAGAAGTTCACAGCACCAATGTGTCATCCAGGCTGGTGTTGAGCGATTTGATAGGATACAGTCATACGCTAGCGCCCAACGTCATCGTCAATATATCGGCGCTATCCAACGACACTCGGAAGTACATGAGTAGCGGCGCTATTTTCGGGTTTACAACGGACGACGACATATACAAAACATTCGAGGAAGCTGCATCGAGCACAGGTGATCGCGTCATACGAGGCCCCCTTTGGGAATTTTATAAAGCTAAAACCACGTGGCCCACGATGGCCGACACCAGAGTAGTACCTAACCAATGCACTGGAGACGCTATGGCGGCGGCCATGTTTCTAGAAAATTTCAAACCTAAAGGAGCAGCAATGGTAACACTTGATATCGGTGGTTCTGCCTTTCTAAGGAGTCTTAAACCGGACCACTATTTAAGACCTCATCGGATGACCGGAAGTCCGATGCGCGCTGTGATTCAATTTTTAAAACAAATTGCATGTCCAAATGATAGGCGACTTAGGTGTTGATTATTTATTTTATATTTTAACAAATTTAAAAATACATAAATATACAAAATTGTGTTTGTCATATACGTTTAGTTTCAATTTGTATTTTCGCGCTATTATATATCGGACCATACTGAACAATCAAATTAAAATTTAATGTCTTGACTTGAACGATAAAGTGTTGAAAAAAAATGTATCCATTACCATACCAATGATGTAACCAACAATTTTTTTAGAAGGAAATGTAATTTTAATGGTATTTCTTATTTTTGCTCAAAAAAATATTGAAAAAACATTATTTATTAAAAGGACAGAGGTAAAGCAATATTGATCCTTTTCAATCAACATGTTCAACCCACCAATAAGAAATTTATTTGAAAATATTCTACTGAAGTGACATTCTTAAAAATTAAATAATTACAAAAATTATAATCTAGAATATAAGAATTTGGTAAAAACTACTAGTTACACTATAGTTCTGATGTTGATTATGTCAGATAATTAAAAAACGATTTGTTGATAATAGTGGAATTGTTAAGATTTAAATTGGATTGATGTGATATAAATGATTATTTGGATTATGAGAATGTCTCGATTATTAATCATTTGATTATGCTTATAATAACTAACTCAACTGCTAGTTGCCATAAGATACAAGGCGACAAGACATTTTTTTAATAAAAAAAATTCATTAGTTTTTAATAAATCACGTAACTTCTTTTCTTGTTGTTTTATCATACTGGATTATCTTTTGTAATTTAATGTATATGTTAATCTTATAAGTTTAATGAAAATGTATTATAGCTAAAATTATAAAAGTTAAATGGATTTTATGTTGAAACATTTCACTAATAGTGATATTTTATTTGAGTCTTTATAATTTACGCCAGTGAAGTATTTAGGGTAAGACAATGGGGGTCACGTGCCCTTCTTTGTGAAGTTTCGATTTAGATAAATGATTAACAAATACTTTTTATTAGTTTAAATAGATAAATATTTTATTAGAGGTAAGCTGAGTAGATAATGCAGCTTTTTAAAAAACCAGTCCGAATAAATAATATTTTTTATATTCATTTTATTACTATAATAAAATAAATTAAACAGCCAACAAGGAATTTAAAGAACTAGACGTAATGACTTCAATTTATTTTTACAACCCTCTTAATAATAAATGACTATATTTACTCGTATTATCGTGGCACCGATTTCCGGAAGTCATGCGTTTTTGTATACGTTCTTGACAGTCAAAAATTATGTCACGAAGAAAATATATTACAAAAGAACAAAAAGGGTGAACTTGAACATTTATATTCTCCTGCGTCTCAACGGCCGGAACCGATTTAACAACAAAAAGAATATGGGGATATGTTTTGTTTTTAAACAATTATGTATGTTACCGTTTGGTTTCTTAAACGCTCAATGATCGTTATTTTTACTCGCTTTATAAAACAGTAGTGAGTAGGTACTTTGTCGGTGTTATTTAAAACCGTTTGAATAATCCGTAAAGTCTATATTTGGTATTTTTATTGTATTTTATATGAAATTTACTTGGAAAAAAATATAATGGATATATAAAATAATTACCTCGAGCCTTACATTTATATTCGTATGTGTTAGAAATGTCTAATAATATGTATTTTATAATATACTAATGGAAAAATTTAAACGTAAGACCTTTGATCGTGGACTAGTTTTTCGACAAAGTTCTTTAAATTATTCATATTAATTCACTACCAGGTCATTTTATTTCGGGTCGATAGTTTCAAACTAAAGAAATTTTCAACGGTTGAGAACTATTTTCGAATAACGTTGGCGTATGTGAGTGCCCAAAACTAGGACGTCTTCATCGATTGTTATTATTTGTGGTTTCATATGACTTTCGATGACCCAACACGAATACATGAAAATTTAATCATAAAAAATGACCCAGTGGTGGAGATATTAGAGAATCACGAAGAAAGTACAACAATTATTCATGGCTTTGTTAATCTAAATGTTGTCCTTTTGACTCATTTATCGACATTTTTTTTTTGGTACAATTCTAAAAGAAATTTATAGCGAATTGAGCAAATATTTACTAACTAATTTAAACTTATTTTTAGAAACAATTATTAAAAAACATTAGTTGGTAATATAAAATATTTGGAATAGCAATAAATAAGGGAAAACATTTTTTTTTTGTGTTAAATTTATTATTAAAGTTATAGCTACTATTGATGTTTTCTCTATTTGTGTCATTGTCTATAATGCAACTAAGACTGTGTGCACAGGCGGCTAGAAATTTTTCCAAGGTAAGGAGATTTGCCCTTTGTTCAAGTCAGGGCTTAAATGCATTTTACCACCCCATCGAGATTTTTCAAATTTTTTTTTTTTAAATCAATTTAGTTTTTCATACCGACTAAGAATATATAAAAATTTTTTGTCGGCGAAGTCTAGTTTAAAAGTTATGAGCTTTCAAAGATTTCAATAATCATATACAAATTTTGTTATATACTGCTTTTTTTTTTTGATAATTTTCATTAATTAACTATAAAAAGTATTCTCGATGATGTAGTTACCGAGGAATAGTAAATTTAAGAGTATTTATGAGTACATTAAACGTGTTAAGGTAGTGTTGAAGTAAATAAATTTAATTTTTTTTTATCTGTTTTTTCAATATTATATCACCATTTTAACATCAAGGTTTTATACTTGTTGGGTCACTGAGAATTTCAGTCGAATGGGTTTAAATAGGTTGGGTTTGGGCTTGACTTCTATCCTCTGGGGGTTTGGGGGCGTGAGCCCCCATCCCATGAGAGTCCCAAAGCATTGAAAAATACACGTTAAAAAAAAAAAAAAATGAAAAAACTCGATGGGGTGGTAAAATGCATTTGTTCCCAAGTCAGCATATTTTTTCCATTGAAGAATTTTTTTTCAGGTAACACATTTTTAAATGAAAATTGTCATTTACCGACTGTGACCCTGACTGAAATAATCTTTGATAATAGTTTAAAAATTACGATATCATAGGAAAATTATAGAATTTAAATAGATTTCACAAGTTTAAAATATTATTTGTACTCTAAATTTTTTACATAGTTCAAATTTGTAGAAAATTCAATTGGTTTTTTCCTGAATGCATATTTTTTTTGTTTCATTTTGATCACGAAACGTTGGAATGTGTTATGATATATTTTTAATTTATCGTAACTCAAAAATGAATAAAATTAAATTAAAGAGAAAGAAAGTGAGAGTTAGATTGAGAGTAAGAGTTACTTTTAATTCAGGTTGTGATTTGACGAGGGCTATGAAATAACATAAATCTAGACTCTTATTGATTTTTAAAATCTTACCTGGCAATTTTCCTGGTTCTTATAATATTTTAAATATAATCAATAATTGAAAATAAAATAATACAAATCAATTTAGTTCACAACTTTAACTTCGATAATAATGATCACAATATTCGCGTAAAGATATCTAGAGCCCGAAATGAACAGGGCAGCATAATAGTTTGCTCTATGTTTTCATAATATTTTTTACCCCGAAAATCAACATTGTCTAATTCTTACAGTATAACTGTTTATTGATAAATAAGCATAAAATACAGAAATTATTACAAATGAATGGAGTATATAAATCATTTTGACATTTTATAATATAAAATTATATATTGTATATTATATAACATCAATATAGTTTATTATACATAAGATTAGTGTTGATACAATGCATTTAATTATTAAAATTAGAATAAAAAAAGATGACAAAAATAATTTATAGATTTCTTTTCGGAAGAAAGGATTTTAAAAGTGACTATTAATTGATTTATGATTGAATCGTGTATATTACAATATAACTAAACAGTATGCGTTTGTTTACTATTTCTCTTAAACGTTAATTCAAATTATTTTTGTGTTGAAAAGAATTATGTCCTTCTAAGAATATAATGTATAAATATACCATGTTATGGTAGTGACGAGTTTATTACAACAAATTTAATTGTTTTTATTGTTAAAAATTAATTTATTTTTCTCTCTGGCTTATTTGACGTACATTTTAAGTTTCAGTATTTAAACAAATGTTATTTTATTTGATACAGCAACTACCGACATTCGAATCGTTACCTATGAGGAAACAAAATATGCTAATGGTATTTAATTTTGACATTAGATTTTTTTGGGTAATATCAGTATAGTATCAACAATTTTTAGTAGGAATAATACCTATCGTCTAGGCCAGTTTTGCAGGCCGATGGCTACTGGTCATGCGATATCTATGCTTTTGTACAGTATTACTAGCAGCATGTGATGTTATTTTGTAAGTAACACCATTTTTTTAGATATATAGTCTCTAATTCTTAGTTAGTGATTTTGTTGAAATTATTAATAATGAGTAAACAAATAACCTTCATTAACATAATTTTATGCATATTATGTTGATTTTATGCGCATTGTATTAGTGTAAAGTACAATTGGGTCTGACCCGATGACTGTTGTGTAATGAGAATAAAATTCCGTATATTATCCTGAGTATGTAAACAAACTACTAAATTAGCTTTAATTCAGATAAACAAATACTTAGATCAAAACAATAATTCTTATTTATAAAAAAATATTCATAGTTTTAAATACTTTTCAAAGTCGTGTCAATAATTTTATCGTTTAACTGGATGGTTTAACATTATAAGAAGGTGCACAGGTGCAAATTGAGGGACAGAGTTAGGGGGCTAAGTCCCTCCAAAATTTTAGAAAAATTACATATATAATGAAGAAGCGACTTACTCGGCTCAGTCGGGAACGCATATCGCTGAGTTATGTAGGTTTTCCCGTATATAAACTAATAATAATAACAACATAAAGATAAATTTTAGAGAGGGGAATTTAGAAATAATGAATTCCTCTAAACATTTTGTTGAAAAATGTATTATTTTCGCATTAAATTATGTTTTTTTTTTTTGAAAAAGTGGTTCCACAAACGTGTTAAAAAACGTCATGAAGAAACGAAACAAAGTGATGACTGGAGATGCGTACAGAGAAATCACGGGATATCCCGACGATTTGATTTGGAAGCCCATTAAAAGTGCCGATAAATTCATAAAAAAGTCGGGTCCCAAAAAAAATCCAAGGGTCTCTGCAGTAGGCACTCTTTCCACTAGATCCAGTTTAGACAGTGGCACAATGATTACATCTGAACGAAATTTTCAAACCAGAGTCACGACTCCAATAGCTGTGTTGGCATCATCAGAATGCACCACAATCACGAAGACAACGTCGACAACCGGATGTACTCCAATGTCTTCCGATGTGTACTCTTTGCTCATGCGCTTAGCCACAATGGTAATGGCAGAAGCAACTGGTAAAAGTACTGCTATGTCGGTGGAACAAAATACGTTGCGGCCGCCGATTGAATGGCAAATGTGCCGCCGAATGCAACCGACAAAAAACTACGACGACATGGACGATGGTGTCGATTCCGGTTGGTATGGATCTACACATAGACCCAAATCGTCTACCAAATACTTCGACCCTATTCAAATAGAACTGACCCAACCGGAGTATTCATTGGGCTGTCGGCCGTCGATCACGATGGCTGACGACGAAGATTACGAAGAACACGAAGTGACTACAGCGAAGGATTGGAAAGCAAAGGTGGCACCTTCGGTTATGGCCAGTGGTACAATCCGAACCACTGTAAATAAGGGTCGGGGTTTGGTTATCGATAATGATTACTGAAAAACACTAGGCACCATGCTCTTTTTCCAACATTTATTTGATTATTTGTTTTTTACCGTGCAAGTTAAATATGCAGAAAAACATTATTCTTATGATAGCCTTAGAGATTAGTTTTTTTAAACAATTCTATCCAGGCCGGCATTTAAGAATTGTGCTACTCAGAGTACTTAGTTTTGTCGCGCACAGTGGCTTTTTTATTCGCTCAACAAAAAACTTTCTCTTTGCACAGAAATTTTTTTTTTTTTTTTGAATGGGCACATTTTCTAAATACCGTCATGATTATAATTGTTCAATAAAAGTTATTTTCAAGGTTATCTTTAATAAAAATACTTTTTTTTTTGCGTATTTAATTAAAAATTTGTTTCTTGGGGCACGTATACCTGTGTCCCTTAGATGCGACCCTGGTATTAGTATAGTGTGCTCTACTCCAAAAAATATTTGGTAAATCCAGCCATAAATTTCCCAAGCACAAAAACTTTTAAGTATTAGTATTGATAACAGGCGAAGTATTACACCAGTTCTGACAACTGATCATTTTCTAAACCATACTAGCGTAGAACTGTCGAATAGATTAGAATAGCGTAGAATCTTGTCCAATATTGGCGATCGGTAATCTTGTCTAAATACTGACCCAATAATATTGGCAATTGATAATTGGCTGGTATAACTGTTGGAGTACTGTGCTATAGTATAATTTGTAAAAAAAATCTCCAGTACTGATCTATTAGTACGGAAAACGTTATCATATCAGATATGCCAGTACAAATACAGTGTTGCACCTATTTCTAATTTCTGATTGACATTCTATTATTCTAAGTATTTGTAATATTATTTAACAAAAAATTATGACTTGTGTATAAAATTATTTATAATTATTAATATATTTAATATTCTAGTTTAAAAATAAAAAATGTTCAACTCAAAATGGGACAACTAGAATTTTGACATTATATTAGTAACATCAAACAGTAATAATTTATGAAATTTATTAAGCCACCCTACAGATAAAGTAGAAGGGAGCGGGAGCTTTTATAAAATTTGACCCGACGACTTATGCAAATACCTGCCGTATTTAAAAAACATGGTATTTTCGTTTTCATATATATATATAAAAGCAACTTTGAATTTTTTATTTAGTTTAAATAGTTCTTTTTATCTATGGCTGCGTCGTATATCATAAAGTTTTATAAGCTCGGGGTAAGAAGTTCGAACCCCGTCAGCCATAATGACTTTTTTTTCTTTATTCATTTTTGAGGGGGAAAAAATTCAAAATGAATAATAATAAATAACATTCAATCAAAATATTCAATGGATATCGAGGATCCCTATCACTTTAGTCCTTGTAAAAAGGTCTTTCTTATTCATATTTAAATATATTACTAAATGATTTATTTTTGTGTTTGTTGTTAACTTTTCTCAGCTCTCACTTGGCCAATTTTAATGACCAATATGTAAAAATAATACGATTTAAATTTTGCTGAATTTATTGTTAAATTCGATTTTATATTAAATTACACAGCAACATCAAATATTTTTTAATAATTATAGACCATTATATACTTTATTAAACCAAATTTTTATCCTGATTTCAAGTCTAAAATAAGATTTTTTTCTATCACCTTTTTTTTTGAGATTATTACTAATTAGAAACATATGTAAAAATGAATCAAAAAATAATTTTTTTATCAAATTATTAATGATTTTTATTATATTAAAAATAATCTGTGCAAAATTTTAATTCAAAATGACATTTTTAACTTATTTTTTTGATCCTTTAAAGTTTATTTTTATAAAAATTTATAAGTGAAAAATATTGAACTTTTAAACAAAATATTACTCAACTTGCAATTTTAGAATTTATATCATGAAATAAAAAAATTTTAGTTCGAATAAAAAATACTATTTTTTTGCATTGAAAATGTCGATAAAAGCGTTTTATTGTAATTAATCATTTAACGTTAACAAATTTTTGTAATTTAATATTTTAGAAGTTAACAGAATAAGTCCATTGTATGATGTAAAAATATGACGCAATGCCATATTTTTAGGTCGACCGTAAAATAAACCAATATTTCTAAAGTTTTTAATATTTTTATTCCTCGGTGAGTCAGTCAAGTTATATTTGTTGTTAGAAAACCCACACTCCACCTCTAATAATTGTTAATATAAATACTATATTCATAAAACTTTTCTGGGAGTACAACTAATAAATAAATGAATCGTTTATATTTAAATTTTTCAATAATAATTAAAAATTTTTTTAAATAATTTCCTATGTTAAATTTTAAAATACATTAAAATTACATTATTAATGTTTAGTGATTAAAATAGTGAAAATAAATTTAATCATTAACATTAATTGCAATACAACATTTAACGAGTTTCTATTTATATTGAAATTAAAGGCTCTTCATTTAATAATTTAAATTCCAATTCTAAAATCAAAAAATAAACATTTATAAGTTATTGAATTTATATTTTAATTAATATATTTTTATTTTAAATACCTATTTCTAATTGTCCTTTCGTTAAGTCTGGTAAAAATGTTTCTTCTGTAATCGGGTCAAATTTAAATCCGAGCTGAAAATACTTTTCTGTAATAACTGTTTTTGTATAATGTTTAATTTTTTTGGTTAAGAATTTGATAAATAATAATTTTTCGTTTTGTTCAATAAGGGCTCTATATTCATTAGACCATTCATTCAATAAATACTTGTTATCATAAAGTACAAATTCACAATAATTTTTAGTTTCACTTTTTACATCCCTCAATGTTTTAGATGCAAATAAATGTAAAATTTCCAATGTGGAATAGTATGTAGATTTATCATCACGTGATAGCGTTTCTATATTTAAGTCGTCAAGAATATTTCCTATTTTCCCTAATAAAGAATATACCATATAATGATGTATACAAGAAGTAGCCCATGGTCTGCTGTGTAATGAATCCAAAGTGTACATAGCGCTTTTCATCATTGTTGCCATTGGAGCAATTGAACTAATTATTATTTTTATGAGTTCTTCTGTGCAAATGAATCCATCTATAAAGTGTCTCTTTTTGTCAATTGCTATTTTACACTCTTTTGTAGCAATTCTTATAATAAAAAAAATATTATCTATAATTTTTGCGTATGAGCATCCAAGATATACAGTCAAAGTTCGTATTTTTATATCACCATTTGTGACACACGTAGGTGTATCAATAAGAGTTTGAAGATAATAATCTGTGTTGTAATATTTTATATAATGTGTTTCGACTAAATTTGTCCATCCTAAATACTTTAGTAAATTATCTAACATAACTACTTTTTTTTTTGAAATCCGTTCTGCTCTTGTATACAAAATCACAGAAAATAGTAAAAAACAAAAGTTGATAAGTTTTAATGAAAACATTGAAAAATAAACAATAATGGCTAAAATTTTTTGATTAAAGTATAATTTTGAAAAGTGTCAAAGGACACGTATGTCTTCTGTTCTACATTTATAGAAAATAAAAATAACATATATGCTTAAACATTTGTTGAATTATATAAATATAAGTTCATTTTTATAATTTTTGAGTTAACTAAACATTTCCCATATTATATTGAATAATATTTTACAAAAATTCAAATTTGTATTTTAACAGATCCATACTGATTATTATATTTATTTATTTACAGTAAATAAAATTTTTTTTTTAGAAAAATCGTTATTTGTTATTTGTAATTCGATATTTGTTCAATTTTTTTTTACTTAATACTGCCATTACTTTTTTAAAAATGACCGAATCAATATAATATTTTTTTATAGATACCTTAGATATTTACCTATCATTTGATATATTTTTGTGAACATTGGACCCCTAACCAGCCTAATAATATTATATCGGGATAAAATTAAGGGAATAAAAGTTATTGTTACTTTTGAAATAATCTACCAATTTCTTAAAATTAAAGGCTATCTACAGATTTGCATCGAAGCGCTTCTTATGATAATGATTTTATCAGAATTGAATAAACCTTTTGTTTAACAAAAAATATTTAAATTATTTATTANTAAACCGTTTGTTTAACAAAAAATATTTAAATTATTTATTAAAGAATGATTTAATTCTGAAAATGATTGACAAATTAATAAATTTAACGTTAACAAATTTTAATCATTTAATATTTTAGAATTAGTCCATTGCATGATGTAAATATATAACGCAATGCAATATTTTTAGGTCGACCGTAAAATAAACCAATATTCAAAAGTTTTTAACATATTTATACCTCGGTGAGACAGCCAAGTTATATTTGGTGTTAGAAAACCAACTTTAATATTTGATAATATAAATACTATATTCATAAAACTTTTCTGGGAGTACAACCAATAAATAAATGAATCATTCATCGTTTATATTTATATTTTAGCTTCGATGCGAAGCTGAGAAGGCATTGGTTTTACTATGCTGTGTTTTTTTTAGCTTTGATGCGAAGCTGAGAAGGCATTGGTTTTACTATGCTGTGTTTTTTTTAGCTTTGATGCGAAGCTGAGAAGGCATTAATTTTACTATGATGTGGTTGGGTTATTATACTACCTATGATTAGATAGTACAGCAATAATTGCTTTAGTTGAAAAAAATACTTTATTCTTTGCAAATGTTGGTGATTCTAAAAGTGTAATGTGTGATAAGAAAGGGAATGCTATTCCTCTATCATTTGATCACAAACCTCAAATCACAAGTAATAATAACTATAATAATATAATTTACTTATTTTAGCTTCAATGCGAAGCTGAGAAGGTATTGGTTTTACTATGATGTGTTATTTTTTTTGGTGTCTGTTACCACTTTTTCACAGCTCTCACCGAACCGATTTCTTTCAATGATAAGTCAAAAGATTACAAATCGTATCTAGTCGTAGACATTAGCCTCAAAAATTGAAAATATTTTCCTCGTTCCCCGTAAATGGGGGAAATCTTCAAAAAAATTACAAATTTAAAAATTGCTAATTTTTGAAATGTTTTCAATTTTTTTTACTAAAAACTGCCGCAACATTTTCAAAAATGAACATATCAATACAATTTTTTTTTTTATAGATGCTTGATGTCTTTACCTATAATTTGATATATTTTTTTTGTAAATCTGACCCTTTATCTGTCCACAGGGGGGGATTTAAAATGACAACTTTTTCACAAAAAATTTACTTTTTCTACTTAACTTTTGAAAATGTTCCGGAAGGTCTGACACTTTTATATATACCTTAAATTAAAGCTAATGTAATATACTGTAATTTGAACAAAAAAAAATTTCACTTCTGGACATGTGTTCAAGGCAAAAATGGCTACCGAATGCTATATTTGTGATTTTATAATTTACATTTTTTACTTTAAAATGATATAACTTTTTAGAAAATGATTGGATCAATACAATTTTTTTATGAGAAATAATATTTTTTAATAATCCCTTTTTCATTCAACATACTTTATCTTAATCAGAATATTGATATGGAACTAGCAGATCATGTAGCTTTTGGAATAATTTTGGAATAATACATCAATTTTTTAAAATTAGACATTATCTAAAGATTTGCATGGAAACGTTTTTTTTGATAGTGATTTTAATTACTATCAGATATCATTATACTTGATCCAACTATGCCACGTCACCACTGTGCCACGACCCCCCTGTGCTGGGTTTATTAATATTTTTTTTTAATAATAATTTAAAATTTAAAAATATATTATAATTACATTATTAANTATGTTAAATTTAAAAATATATTATAATTACATTATTAATGTTTAGTGATTAAAATAAATTTAATTGTTAACATTAATTGCATTACAACATTTAATGAGTTTCTATTTATAATGAAATTAAGGCTCTTCGTTTGATAATTTAAATTCCAATTCTAAAATCAAAAAATAAACATTTATAAGTTATTGAATTTATATTTTAATTAATATATTTTTATTTCAAATACCTATTTCTAATTTTTTCTCCTTTAAGTCTGGTATAAATGTTTCTTCTGTTATCGGGTCAAATTTAAATCCGAGCTGAAAATACTTTTCTATAATTACTGTTTTTGTATAATGTTTAATTTTTTTGGTTAAGAATTTGATAAATAATAATTTTTCATTTTGTTCAATAAAGGCTTTATATTCATTAGTCCATTCATTCAATAAATACTTGTTATCAAAAAGTACAAATTCACAATAACTTTTAGTTTCACATTTTACATCGTTCATTGTTTTCAGTGAAATTAAATATATAATTTGCAATGTGGAATAGTATGTAGATTTATCATCACGTGATAGCGTTTCTATATTTAAGTCGTCAAGAATATTTCCTATTTTCCCTAATAAAGAATTTACCATATAATGAGGTATACCAGAAGTAGCCCATGGTCTGGTATGTAATGAATCCAAAGCGTCCATAGCGCTTTTCATCAATGATGCCATTGGAGCAATTGATCTGATTATCATGTTTATGAGTTCTTCTGTGCAAATGAATCCATCTATTAAGTGTCTCTTTTTGCCAATTACTTTTTCACACTGTTTTGTAACCATACTTATAACAAAAAAAATATTATCTATAATTTTTGCGTATGAGCATCCAAGATATACAGTCAAAGCTCGTATTTTCATATTACCTATAGAGACACACGTAGGTGTATCAATAAGAGCTTGAAGATAATATGCTCTTTTGTAATATTTTATATAATGTGTTTCGACTAAATTTGTCCATCCTGTATACTTTAGTAAATTATCTAACATATCTAATTTTTTTATCGAAATCTGGTCTGCTTTTGTATACAAAATCACAGAAAATAGTAAAAAACAAAGGTTGACAAGTTTTAATGAAAACATTGAAACATAAACAATGATGGCTAAAATTTTTTGATTAAAGTATAATTTTGAAAAGTGTCAAAGGACACGTATGTTTTCTGTTCTACATTTATAGAAAATAAAAATAACATATATGCTTAAACATCTGTTGTATTATAATAATATAAGTTCATTTTTATAATTTTTGAGTTAACTAAACATTTCCCATATTATATCGAATAATATTTTACAAAATTCAAATTAGTATTTTAACAGATTCATACTGATTATTATGTTTATTTATTTACAGTAAATAAAATTTTTTTTAGAAAAATCGTAATTTGTTATTTGTAATTCGATATTTGTTCAATTATTTAGCTTCGATGCGAAGCTGAGAAAGTATTAATTTTACCATGATATGTTTTTTTTTTCTTTTTTTAGTTTCGATGCGAAGCTGAGAAGGTATTGGTTTTACTAAAATGTGTTTTATTTTTTTTTTTTTTTGTGTCTGTTACCACTTTTTCTCAGCTCTCACCGAACGGATTTCTTTCAACGATACGTCAAAAGATCACAAATTGTATCTAGTCGAAGACATTACCCTTCAAAATTGAAAAAATTTCCCTCGTTCCCC